GGAAGGAAGGGGGGGGAAGCTGAAAAGACATGTTGGTGGAAAAGGGCAATTTGCATGAAAAATAGGGACGGATGATTAGGGAGCCAGGCAGGGGAATTTTGATTGCCCCAGAATTAAAAGAATCAGTGGCGAGACCAGGTGAATTGTATTTTGGCGTTGTCTTTTGTAAACCCGGTGGTTGATATTTTGTTCGAAAAGTCGCAGTAATAATAAAAAAGACATTTTTGCTGCCTCTGCCTCCATCAGGAGCCAAATGTTTTGCAGCGAACGCGGTGCCAGCCGTGTTTCATACATTAGTATATAATTCTCGTTAATTAGCAATAATTTACGTTAAGAGCGTAGAAAACGTTGAGGTTACAGGTTTTATATCTGTACATTTGATCGTCTTGTTATTTTCAAGAACTTTGCCTCCTATAAAATTAATTAGGTGAAATGTGGAGGTGTAATCAGCAACCTCTGAATTACCACTTCGTTTCCTGGTTTTGATTGTAAATCAGCCCAGTCGGTACAGACTTTAGCGAAGTCTATTTTTGTTTAGTGCTACTTTCAACCGTCTGGTGTGGAAGCAGCGGGTTACCTTCCCCTGCTAAATAATCCTGACAGCGTCAGAAAGAAATCAGGCCGCGGGAAAACATTATAATTGAGTAATGATTATGCAGAGCTCCTCGCTAAGCCAGTCGTAAGGGGAATACGGGTTATTTTGTGTCTTTTGCTGCCCGGAGTCGGTGAGCTAGAAGTTAGGTTTGCAAAATACCTTTGTCTGCGGCGTGCAGCGAGCTACTGGTGGAATTAGTCCTGCCATAATTTACTCCCTCGCTCCGAAGGCGAGGAACGGCTGGGCAGAGAAACGCCGTGCCCGGCAATCCCGCGGAAAACACTCTGCCTCCTCTCCCGGCTTCCCGAGGAGCGCGGAACGCGCGTTGTGCCGCTTATCTTGTCGGTCTGTAAGTTTAGAAGAAAACCCCAGCGATTAAGACATTGTTTTTATTAATATGAACGTAACCTTCATATTCCTGTGGTTGACCTTACGTTAAATTAGAAGTAGTACTAGAGGCGAGAAATGATGGGCTGGATCCCTGTGTCCTAGTTGGAGCTGAGGTACGGTGAGGTAGTGTGCTCCTTCAATATTATTTTACGCAACACAACTGGGAGCTACTCCAGATCTTCCTCCTCAATATTCAGCCTAGGTAGGGTTGAAATAAATTTAACCTGAGTTCACTGGATTTTTGCACTTTATCAAAATCAGTTCCAATATCGTGCAGTCAAATTAAAATCTATTTTTTGATTCTCTGTGGCTTTAAGTTCATTAAATGTGAAATTGGCAGCCAGCTAAAGAAGGTCAGGCTGATTAACTGTTTAGGAGTTGTGTTCTGTCTCGCTGGCGTTACCTGGCAGTGTTTTGAGGTGGTTTGTGTCTGGATTACCCTCTCCTCCTGCTCGCTGCCGTTAGCGTGCGTGTTGTATCGTGCAGGTAGAGGAATACTGACACGCTGCCGGGATTTATTTTATTTTTTTTTTTCCTCGTGAAAGGCAATTGTGATGGAGACTGCACGCACGCAGATTGACGAGGTATTTCTCTGCAAACTTAACAAAAAAAAAAAAAAAAGGCAAACAGAAAAGAGAGCTGCGTCTGCCTCGTTAGAGCACCCACTGACTATTCTGTGGGCAGAAATAGCCTCATAATGAAGCTTTTTGGAGCTCATTCAGAAAATTTGTCAACTTTGGCAACGTTAGGCAAGGTATTTCGAGTTTAGAGAAGGCGCTTCTCAGTGTTGCGAGGAAATGTGGCAGTCGCTTGGCCACGCTGATTTTTAGATGCTGAGGGCCACCAGTGCTAACACGTTCAAGATCAGTTAGGCATTCCTTTATTTCAGGATGAAAAAGTAAAAATGACTGATTGCCTTGTTTCCTTAAGTACTGAAAAATATCCCATCTCGCCAGTGTCTCTGGATGGGATCAGTCGTGAATTTGGTATTTATTTGAATCCTGAGGAGTAGCTGAAAAGTGAGAGGTGCCTCCCCCCGCCCCGCAGGCATTTCTGCTGCACTCGCTTTTTATCATTTCGGTTTCTGCCATTTATTTCTTTATTTGTCTCCTCCCCTCCCTCCGCCACGAATAACTCCCGGCTTTCAAATTTTTAAATTGGAAGCCGCAAACCGGCTGGTAGGGACAGCGACACAAATACATACGTATATGTATGCACGTGCGTTGTGAGGGCTGCGTGTGCCCCGCGTGCCGGTGCCTGGGTGTGTGCGGCCATGCAGTCTGGCTCTCCCTCTCTTTTCTTTCACACACAGACATGCTACCTGCACGGCCTCTATAGGGAATATGCAATATCTATATGTCGAAACACCTTTTGTGTGCACCCGCGTAGCTCAGGCTTCTAAATTTTAGAAAGTAGATTCGGCTGGTGGGAAACACACACCCGTGTGCGTGTGAGAGAGTGTGTGCGGTGCTTTTAGCCTTCAATTCATATACATAAATAATACATCCAGCAATAAAACACCCTGTTTGCTTCTCTTCGTAGTACCACAGGAGTTTTGCAGTGTATTCTTTCAGCCCGTTCATTTAATTTTACCACCGAGTCGTTCGATCGAGTCACAAATTTGTCCCCGTGTAGGAACGCAGAGACAGTAGCGGTGCTCGCTCTCTGAGTTCTGTGTGCTACAGCTGCTTCTGCAAAATCTCTGCCCTGTAGCTGATGAATTCACCTCCTGGCTGCCGTGCGAACAGCCGTGTTGCATGGGTTGAGTTGGGGGGGAGCAGGCGGACGTCGTGAGCCGGGTGTAATATTCACGAAGAGGGGGGCTCGGCGCGTTCCTCCCCCCGCACCCGGTGCCTTTCCCGAGAGCTCTAATGATTCTCCTTTTGTTTCTCAAACTGCAGCCGAACCTCTTGAAGCCATTCTCACTGATGACGAACCTGAACATGGCACATTGGGAGCTCCGGAAGGGGACCACGACCTCCTCACTTGTGGCCAGTGTCAGATGAACTTCCCGTTGGGGGACATTCTTATTTTTATTGAGCACAAACGGAAACAATGCAATGGCAGTCTCTGCTTAGAGAAGGCTGTGGATAAGCCACCTTCACCCTCACCAAGTGAGCTGAAAAAAGCATCCAATCCTGTGGAGGTTGGCATCCAGGTTACGCCAGAGGATGACGATTGTTTATCAACGTCATCTAGAGGAATTTGCCCTAAACAGGAACATATAGCAGGTAAATTAAAGCAAGGAGAAGTGTTTGCGAATTTATTTCCGTTTCAGTTGCAACGTAGCATGTTCGCAGTCGTAAACTGCCGTGTCTGTCTCCCTGTTCTGCTCGCCGCGACGGCCGACGTGTTAAATACCCTGCCTTCGGTTAGCGCTGAGCGCATGACCGGCGTTTCCCGGTGCCTGCGCGGAGGCAGGATCAACAGGCACGTGCCGTGCCAGCCGGTATTTCCTACGGTATTGTTTGAGGCTGCTCTCGTGATTTGCCTGTATTGTAGTCACCGTCTCCCGGTGTCTCGCCTGCCGTAGCGCCGCAGGAGGAGATTTCCGAGCCTGCCGCGCGATAAAGCGAGGAGCTTTCGAGTCTTTGGCAAAGTCAGGGGTGAAAGAGTTAACCGAGCATCAGCCAGCCTTGGTTCCATATTGGCTGTCAGCGTATGGACTGTAATTAAACACAGCCCCATGGCAAAGTGACACCACCGACCTTGACTTTAAGATGCCATTTTCGACTGGCCAGGCCAGAGTAGAGAGGGCAGTTGCTGAAGCGCACAGACATGCTTATTCGAAAAGTTTAAGGGCATGTTGGAAATTTCAAAAGGTTGGTTTGACAGGAAAGGCCGCTCTCTGCAGCCTGCCTCCTCAGCCAAATGATAAATGCTTCGCTGTGCTCTCTCTTGTCTCTGATGTGGTTTTGACAGATGTATCTTGATTTTGTTTGCGGTTTACACAACCACATGTCAGCCGTACAAATGTCCGAGGCAGAGTTCTGTTTTGTGCAACAAACAATATGAAACGTGAGTTAAAAAAAAAAAAAAAAAAAAGGGTAAATAATTCCGTTTCTTAGCATAATTTTATTTTTATTTTTTTTTTTAAACCGGAAAGCCGTTCGCCGTGCAGATATTTTCACAAGTGAGGTTAAAAAAAATAGAGCGTACTACGCGAAAGAAAATCCCAGAGCCCGGGGAGCGTAACGAGGCACGCTCTGCTTTTAAAATCCTGCTAGTAAACAAGAGCACTACCCGTTTGCGGCGAGCGTTGCGAATCGCTTCGAACCGCGCCGGCGCTACCGGTCGAAAAAGGCAAGACCGCACCATCTCAAAACCAACAAACGCCTGAACCAGTTTCAAACCCCCTCCCTTCCCAGTGATGTTTGGGATGTGGCACTGCCGGTACCTCTCTTCGGGGAGCCCATGGGACCACTCAGGGTTGTCAGAGGCGCAGCACGTCATCATGCGTGGTGCCGGAGGAGCTTGTCTTGGGCTTACTCTGGCCACAAAGTTAAACCATAATAGGGCAGTAGGCGCTGGGAGGTTGGGCGCGATGCTCTCGCAGCCTCCCTGGCCTCCAAACTGGCTGGCAAATCGTGCTGGAGAGCTGCAGTTTTGAAGGTTTCGTGGTGGCAGCGAATGGGTATCAGCGCGCGCGCGTGTCTGTCTGCGCACACGTATGTACGCAGAGCCGTGTGCGTGCACGCGCGCTTGTGTGAATGACTACACGCTGTTTCTGCAGAGCAGTAGGTACTACTTTGGCTACCTGTATATGTATATATACATACGTTTAAACAGAAATAAGAGGCTCGGCTACTGCTAAGCTACGTCTTGAGACTTAAAAACCCGACAATTCCGCATGTTGCACTTCCCAGCCAGGGATGTTAAAGGTGGTTTGTGTGTTTGTTTTTTTTTTTCCCAGAGTGGTAGAGGGCAGTGCCCGTTTCCATGTGCTGCTTGCGACCCGACGGAAAACGAGCAGAAGCGTAGGGCATGATTAATGAAGCGGGAGCCTGGCGGAAGGGATTTGTAGTCTTCCCAGCTCTGGAGCCATACTAAATCACCAAATATGGAGGAGCTGCGGTATGATGTAACGCTGTATTTACGTGCGGCACCGCTCTGTTGAAAAGACAAAACACAGTATCTGTCAAGCAAGAATTAAACCCTCTCTCCTCGCCGCGGTCCCAAATAGGTCCCTCGGGCGGAGGGACGGCCACGCCGGGGAGTTCTGCACGAGGGGAAACTCCTCGGCTGAGGGTTTTGCTCTGGCACTTGTTCGGCGCGGGAGACTCGGCGAGCCAAATCACGCTTGCGCGTGGCGCCGGTGATGCGAAGCGAGCAGGATTTGGCCTCGCACGGTGTCACGGGGCCGTTAATTCAGAAAAGGCTGTGGTTTTAACTGACTTTAAACGCTTCGGTGAGCGGAGGGCGACGGGTAGGGAGAGGTGTGCATCGGCAGGGGCCTGATCCTGCTTGCTTTTACATGTAGGGATCCCCTTTGCTGTGTGGGTGGACCTGTCTGGGAGCGGGCTGGGGTCCGTGGCGCGAGCCACGAGTGCTGGTGCGAGCAGAGACCGAGCTGCAGCTGTCTGGGCATCTCCCACCCTGAGTTTTCTGCGTGGTGGTGCCCAGCCATGCCCATGGCCAGGAGGTCCAAGAACACAGGTCTTCTCCTGTGCGTCCCCGGCCAGGACAGAGCTGAGAGGCACTGGGGTCCCCTGGTTGTTCCTGGTGGTGGGAAATGTAGCTGGAGGGCGGAAGGAGCACCAGGAGTTATGGGGTCTTGCACTGTCCCTCCCTCCCTTTCGTGTTCTCATCTTTCCTTTCACTTGGATGAGTTTAGCTCATTTGTATCCCAAAGGGGTGCAGCAGTAGCTGGAGTCACCCGTGGCCAGGAGTTTGGAGGGTCCGGCAGTAAAATTACCAGTGAGGGTCTTGGAGGAAGCTGTGGAGTTCAGGTTTCTGGAAGGTCCCTGAAGTGAACCTTGGGCTCTTCGAATTTGGATATTTTATATCTGATTTCTGTGCAAGAATGCAAAATGGAAAAAGATAGCGTGTAATTCACGGAAATAAAGGACAGAGGCTGCCTTTAGAAAAATATACAGGAGTTGAGGGAACTGATTCTTTCTGGTAAGAGACCAGAAAATAGGTATTTGGTAGCAATGTAGAAACATCCCTAATTAGTTGTTAGGCTGAGAGAGGTGTTACAGGTTAGCTCTGGATATGGAGGTGCTATAGGGTAGCTGTGGATGCAGAGGTGCTATAGGGTAGCTCTAGATGCAGTATGTGCTCTGCCTGCAGTTTTGTAGTCAGTAAATTGGTGCTTTACAGTAAAAAAATCATCTTAAGATAAGTAACAGTTAAGGACTGGCTCATCTAAAGACAAGGAAGGAGGCATCGAGTCATTCAAATGCGGGGAGAAATGACGTCTGTTTTAACTGTCAATAGGCTGCTCTTTATCCTCACCATTTTCCAGAGACGGGGATGATTACAGGAGCTTATATGTCCGTGTGTAACCTGTGCAGTAGCTGTGAGATCCGTATAGGTGCAGGCACGCGGACCTGCCTCTTCCGTGTGGGTGTCTGCCTGCGCGTCGCTTGGACTCGCTATAAAATTTTGAGTGATGCTGATCCAGCGCTATAGCTGAAATGTCATAAATTTAACTGAAAATTAATAGGATATGTTGTGTGGGTCCGATGAGGCAGCTTTCATCAATATGTATGTCAAAGCCTCACCACCAGATACCGGCAGCCCGTGATTTGCAGTGAGTGCTACGGCAGGGCTTTAGTCATCCGCTCTCATATTTTACAATAGGGGGAAATATTAACTGAAGTATCTGGAGATCAGTGAATGTAAAATTGCTGTTCGCTTATTGAAAAGGCCGAGGAAATATTTATCGTCCGCCGGTGTCAGGTTTTAGCGGTTTGTTTGTTGAATGTATAAATCCGAGGGAATTAAAGAAAGGTTGGTTTTTGGGTGAGGGAGGATCTTAAATGTTACTTGGATTCAGTTGGAGGAAGAGTTTGGAGTGCTGCTGCATATTCCCCTTTATAATGCCGAGCGTGTATCTGCGGGTGCTGTATTTACTGTACAAAGAGGGGAGGAGGAGGGGAGGTCATTTTTCCTGCTTGAATCCTTCATTCTCAAGCTGCTTGTGGCATTCAAATAAAATATGTGGAAAAATAACATGAGAGAAACCTCTGTCTGCAGTAATCGGGGAAGGTGGATGTAATTTGGTACTAAATTTTGGATCAAGTACATTTGATTATCACGGTTCTCAGGAGGTAATGTCTTTGAGTAGTCATTACACCACAGAAATTTTCCTGGGCTGTTATCAGTAGTTGCCATTATAATTCTGTAGGTTGTAAATTGCGATTCCTTATTATTTTGTTTTGTTCCGGAGATAAAAAATTAATCGACGTCTGCATTGAATAGTTAGCATTGCATCTGGATAATGAGATGAAAGCTTAAAAAAAACGGGGGAGGAAAAAAGGGAATATGGAAATATTTTGGAGTCAAATTCTGTCTGCTTTCCTCATACAAAGAATCAGAGAGCACAGGCAGGGTAAAACAGTCGCAGGCAGGAAAAATAGTGAGGGTGCTACCCGAAGGCTCCCGCTCCCGAGATTCGGAGCCCTGCGTACAAGCTGTATTTGCAAATAAGACAGAGAAAGGTTGTGAACCGGCAGCTTGGCTGTTTTGTCAAAGTACAATGTCAGAGAAACTCTTTCTAAGACAAATTGTAAATAGAAGTGTCACGATGATTGCATGATTGAGCTCCAGAAGTGTCTTGCAATTGTTGGCTTTGTCAGAAGACTTTTGAAAGCTTAATTAAAGGCGGTGGCCTGCGCGGCTGTGAAATTTACTTCTCGGGGGGGAGGGAAATGTAAAAAATGTAAGGGATCAAAAAGTTGCTGTAACGCTACTCGCGCAGGGGTACGGGGAAGAGTCGATAGTTTCTCAGCTTTCCCCGTTGCCTTTTATAAATAACGTTTTTTTGAAGACGCAAACACGTGACACCAACGTCGTCCTTTGTACGAGGTAAAGATTGTGTTCGTTTCCCTGTTCCCTGCTGTTAACAGACAGTTGATGTACGAACAGCTCTTTATTGGAAACACAAATACGAGTTCACCCGAAGCACAGAAGCGGGGTAGAAAGTTTTCCTTTACCCCGGCGCGGTAGTTCCAGGGGAGCTTCAGAGTGTTGCGGTGCCCTGGTTCTCTCTGGTTTTTTGTTTCCT